CTCTGGGTCCTGCTCCCTCTCAACAGCCTCTTGTGTTGCTCATAGCCCCACTGTTGATTTAATTCGAGAGCAGGGGAAAAATGGCTTTCTACTCTACCTAGTCTCTGGTGGAGACGGCTGTCTCGGTAGACCTGTTCTGAAGTAGTGCTGAGGTTGAACCCTGGGAAACCACCAAAGGAGGCCATGGAGGCTCAGAAAGAAACTTAGAGGAGCAGGAATGAGTAGCCAGGCCAGCAGAGAGGTCTCAACCTGCTGGTTTGAAGCGGAGACAAATGCAATCCCAGGAAGGGATCCCATCCATAAAGAGAAGGAAATGCGCTAAGCCTGGGTTCTGGGACCTGTCCCTATATCAAAAGACAAGCATGCCTTGCCATGTAATCTCAAAGCTGGGGAGGTGGAAACAGGAGAATTCCTTAGGTTTAAGGGTCACAAGTCTAGCCAAAATACTGAGAGACTCTGGCTCAAAAAATAATCTGGAGAGTACTCTAGACATTGGCCCCTGGCCTCTGCCTGTGTACACGTACATGCTTGCCCACCTCAAGAGAGAGTTCTTCCCAGGAGTTAAGGGGAACGACCGTACAAATCATCTTGAGATGGCTCACTACCACAGACCTGCACCCAAATGATTATAGCAGTTTGTTCATAATTGCCTAAATGTCCCTCAGCGGGTAAGTGGATAAACAGCTGGAGTCAGTCCATGCCAAGGGCTGCTACTCCATGCTAAAAAGAAATTAGTTGTCAATCATGGAACTGAGATACATGGGGACAAGAAGCCAGGTTGGAAGAACTCCACCATTCTGCAACATCCTACAGAGGGCAAAATCACCAACCATAAGGTCAAAGAATCAGCAACTGTCAGGACTCGGGGCAACAATGGGGATCGGTGAGGTCCAGGGGATGTTCAGGATGGTGAAAGGATTCTGTTTGACACTGTAAGGGTGGACATGCAACATTACACATTTGTATCACCTGTGAGAATGTATGATTCCAAGAGTGACTTTAGTTAATAGTGTGTGTTGACACACTTGAACTCAGTCGTCCTCATGGTCTCAGGCTTCTGACATCCCATAGTCTCTGTGGTGGGATATCAGGGCAGAAGTGGAAGATGGCAGGCTTCTTGAGGAGCAGGCTTGACAACAGAGTCCCTTCTTCTGCATCTGCTGTGGAGGTCAGTTCTAGATTCTCCTTGGACCCAGGAAAGAAGCTCCACAGGGTCAAGGTCCTGCTTACAGGTGGGCTGAGGTCACCATATCATTTCTTGGGGAATGGACAGAAACCAGGCTATTTACACCAGCTCATCCTGTGTGAGGCCCACCTTCATGGAGTCTCTGTTTGATCCAAGGGGAAACTAAGGCACACAGAGGCTGGACAACACACCAACATTTGTACAGGTAACAACACACTATCCTTTATGCAGATGTCAGGCAGAACTGGTGATGCCTGAGCCCTGTACTCTGTGACCTCATTTCTCAGTCATTCTGGCCTTGGAATTTTACATTCCTAGAAATTGTTGAGATAAAGCAATACCTATTGAATATTAAAAAGGCATACTCCAGCCGGGCATTGGTGATGCATGCCTTTAATCCCAGCACCCGAGAGGCAGAGGCAGGCAGATCTCTGTGAGTCTGAGGTCAGCCTGGTCTACAGAGTGAGTTCCAGGACAGGCTCCAAAGCAATACAGAGAAACACTGTCTTGAAAAACCAAAATAAATAAACAAACAAACAAAGAGACATCCTCCAGGATTGAGATTTAATGTCCATCAAGGGCATTCCTCAGCTAGCTGTCAGCTAGCTAGTGCCTGCAGGTTACTTCCAGAGATCTCCAGGCTAGCCCCTCCGTTCCACCCCCAGCCACACTGCCCTTTCTGGAGGGCCTTGGTGGATGTGTCTCAGCCTCACTACTACCACCACATGGACCTATCCTGCTCTCCACACTTTGGTCCTAGAAATCCCTTGGCCCATCTTCCATTATCTAACAAGTGTTCCCTTTCTTTCCATTACCTCCAGCTATGAATTTTTCTGCTGCAGAGCCCCCACTGGACACTTTACCCCATCTCCTTCTCTGAAGACACGTTCACCTCCTCCTGTTCCAAACTAGAAGCGCTCTCTTCAGTCTACCCGGCACACCTATGGCTGCTTCTCATAAGGCCCCTTGCTCAAATCCAGCATCAATGGAGTTTGGGGTTTCCTGGACTTTTGACTCCTATTAAGCAAAATCTGCCCTTCCGATCGATAATGGCAAGTGGAGTGTAGCAAAAGTGAGTATATGGGTCCTCCTGTGACAGGACTATCCCAGGTTTCTTCTCACACAAGACAATGAGGAGCTTCCTAGAATGTCATGGAATTTCATGAATCAGATGTCAAATTCAGTGCCCCACAGTGGCTATGAGGAGTTTCCATGGAGCCATGAGCAAGACATATCAGGATCTAACTGCCTATGCCCTCTTGGGCTTCTTGTCTGGTGTCTGTGCTTCATACGCAGGAAGGCTAGGAGGGGCCTTGTTCAACCCAGCCTCTCCTTCCTTCTTCCTCATCTGAAGCACCTTTGCTCCAGCCAATATTCCCATTCACTACTTATCTAGAATGAGGCACAGAAGGCCTGACTCCACCAGGGATGATTATGGAACTGTAGGTCTCCAGAGCCTCTCTCCTGAATTCAGATCTGACTTAGATGGTACACACAGAATGGCCCCTTGCTAGAAGGTCACAGACAGCCAAAACAAAAGCAGGCTTGAGCATGTATAGGTCCTGGGGGGGGTCACTCTTCCTTCCATCCTTCTGCCTAGGCCACAGGCTCACAGGAGGTCCTTGCCTTTCTTACAATGTAGAAGAACACAGAGCCTTGGAACTTTTTCTCTCAGGCAGCCTTCTTCCATCTTTTCTAGCTCTTCCAAGCTCCAGTAAGTTCCTCCTATCCCTGAATCCAGAGGTGCTTATTGGCTAGGATGATGCATGTCCAAAAACAGGAGTCAAGCAACAGGAGGCTGGTGAATACTTATGGGGATGTCAGGAGCATTTTCCTGTGAGTATGGAACACTCTCAGTCAATGAGTGCTTGGAGGAATGTGGCATACAAGTCAGAGGGTAGGAACTCTACAATGGAGGCTGATGACCTCTGTGTCCACAGACAGGAAATTGCTGAAAACAGAACACGAGAATATACCCTCACCATGCAAGTCAAATTGGGCCTTCCCTGAGATGCCAGAGAACCCTGAGGCAGTGTTGAGATGGCACATGAATCTACACCAACCCTAGACCTTAACCCAGGAGCTGTCCAGTGGAGTTATAATAGAGTGATAATGCTCCCACCCCATCTCAAACTCCAAGGCTGGGGATAGTCTAAACAAGCAGTCTCTGGCTTTGAATTTAGGAGGCAAGAAAGTTGAGTACCACTCAGGCATAGGAGGGTTTAGACCCAGAAGTCTTATTATTCTCTACATGCCATAATTATGTAATAATCTCATTTAAATCCCTATTAGCTGTTACCATCAGCCTCCAGATGGTGAGTTTACAGAGACAGGTCCCATGCATCGTTCCTGTCTTTCCTTGGTTCTCCTACAGTGATGTTCCTACAGTCACTCCAGAACTAGGAAGTGACTGACTGTCTTTCCTTACATGGTTCAGTTAACAAATAGGGAGAAGGAGCTATACTTTGAGGATGAAGTAACAGACAAATGAGCAGCAGGTATCATCAAGTGGCCCTTGGTCCCTGGAAACTTCTGAGTGAAGGCTGGTTTGCAGACAGGAAGGCTAGAGTCAGTGAGTCCTTTGCCTGAGATGAAGGGCAAGAAAGAAGGAGTGATATGAACAAATTCACACCAGATAGGACAGCACTGACAGACCAAAGGAATGATTAAGTCCATCCAAAAGCAGCTTTCAAACAAGAGAATTTAGTTGGGATTACAGAAGGAACAAGGTGAGGGCTGATCAAATGACTCTATCACCAAAACCTTATCACCTTGCTTTGAATATAAACCTTCCCAAGATCATGTCAGCGGAATTACATGCAGCTGAAGAGTGGGGAACAGGAGTGAGTGAGGGCTGGAAGTGGGGCAAGACTCTCAGTTTACAGTCCAGTTCTATTTCCAATCTCCTCTCTGCTTCTTGACCCATCCAGATGTGAGCAAGCTCCACCAATGCTGCTGTGAATTGTTCTTGCTACTACAGTTGCCCCACTATTATTGAGTACAACTCCTTAAACTGTTAGCCAACGTAAACCCTAAGTTGCTTCTTGTCAGATATTTGGTGACAGAAACAACAAAAGTAGCTAGTACACTTCCTCCTGATTTGAGGGTTCATTTCTCTTTCTTCAATGACTGTCTGTCACTGTAGGAGCATTCTCCAATCAGAAAGCCATCTGACTTGCCGCTATTTGGATTTTGACAACCACCTTGCACCCTAACTCTCCTTTCAGGATCTACCTGCTTTTGCTCATCATCTGGAGAAGCCAGGTCATTTTTTTTGTTTGTTTTCTGCAATTTAGGTCTTATAGTTTCTGTCTGCAGGAGTGCTGCTGTGTTAGGATTTTGATGGTTCATGCATGAGGTAGAATCCAGATAATTTTAGAATGGGTGGGAGTTTAACATCCATGAGTGCAGCTGAGCTGGCAAATCTGGTAAAGAAACAACCATTACATTTGGCTATAAGAAACTGGGGCTGGGTTGGAGAGATGTCTCAGAGGTTAAGAACACTGTTTTTCCAGAGGACCCTGGTTTGATTCCCATAACCCCATGACAGCTCTTAGCTATCTGTAACTTCAGTTACAAGGTATTTAATGCCTGTCTGTGGGCACCAGGCACTCATGTGGTACACAGGCATACATGCAGCCCAATTTACATACAAAATATTAAAATTAATTTAAAAGCAAGCTAGGGAGTAACCTTGATGAACATGGTGGGATACCAAGAGGCCTGATGAAGTGAATATAAGGAGATTTGGGGGATGGTGTATGAGGACACAAAGAATTCAGGTTGCAGTGGTTTGCATGAGAAATGTCCTCTATAGGCATTGGAATACTTAGCCCTCAGTTGGTGGCACTGTTTGAAGAGGCTTAGGTGACATTTGAGATTTCCTGGTGCTACTTCCAGTTTGTTCTCTCTGTTTCTTGCTTGTGGCTGAGGATGTGAGCTCTCAGCTTCCTTCTATGGCCATGCTTCCATTCCATGATGGACTTTTGCCCTCTGTAACAGTAAGTCAAAATAAACTTTCTTCCATAAGTTGCTTTTGGTCATGGTGTTTCATCACAGCATCAGAAGAGTAGCTAAGACATGGGTGGTAGGTGATGGGCTACCAGGGGACTCAGGATCAAAGGTCTCCTCAGGTTTCAAGAAGTTATTTTGAGAACTAGCCCTTTTTTGGTATTTTTCAGGACAGGGTTTCTCTGTGTAGCCCTTGCTGTCCTGGAGCTTGCTCTGTGGACCAGGTTGGCTTCAAACTCACAGATCTGCCTGCCTCTGTCTCCCAAGTGCTGGGATTAAAGGTATGTGCCACCATGGCCTGGTGAGCCCTAGCCTCTTAAACATGTATTGTAATTGGGAATGCGCTTTATATTTTATTAAATATGTTCTGGGACATCTCACTATTATATAGTTGGTCTTCCTTTGGTCTATTTACATGATGATATCAAATGAATTTTTTTCAGTGATTAGTCATCCTTACCTTCCTAGAAGTTGATGCTACTTGGTCATATGATATTATTACTTTAACTAAACACAGTGCCTGATTCAATTTTCTAATTCCTTGATGGGCAACTTTTGCATCTTTCTTTGCATGTGACTTGACTTAAAACTAAGGATTTCCTTTGTGTGTGTATGTGTGTGTGCACGCGCACGCATTATTGGGTTTGGTATCAGGGTTTTATGCTAGCCATCTTCAGTGCTTTGTATGGCAAGTGATCATCTTAGAGTTTAGAAACCTGCCCATGAAACTATCATACTTTCTCTGGGAGATTTTATAACTTCCAGGTAGAAGTCTGGTTGTTGATGTGTTCAGAAAAATCTAGATATTTACCTTATATTCTATTTAATTAGTAACTATATCTCAACCCCTATGCTTGGTCAGACTATAGAAGGAGGATATAGTACAACCAGAATGCCATACACTTCCTATGGGGACAGGTACTCCATAAATCACAATGTCTTTACTCTCTTCACTCACTCTTTGCTAAGACTATCTCAGATGAGAACTCAGGGAGATGCTGTGGGTGAACAGTTGACACATCCATCTACCTTCCCCTTCATTTTTCCGTCCATCTATCCTATATTCATGCATCTATTAATTCACCTTTCCAAACCTGCCAAACCATTCACACATTTATGAATGTGTGTGTATATATATCCATCCAACCATTCACATATTCACACATTTATCCAACCTTCAGCCTATTCTTTATCAATACATCTAAACACCTACACATCATTCATACATCTATCCACTCTCCCATCCATCAATCCATCAACCTATATGCACATTTATGTATCTATACATCCCACAATAGCAGCTACATAGTCATGCATATATCTATCTATCTATCCATCCATCCATCCATCCATCCATCCATCCTTGCATGTATTCATCAGCCCGTCCATCAGTCTATCCACATATTCATACATGTATCTGTCCATCCAACAATAGCTCTATCCTTGCATCTATCCATCCGTTAACCCATCCACATGTTCATGCATGTGTCCACCCATATATCCTTCTGTACATTCATGATCCACATATTCATCCACACACTCATGCATCCATATACTTTTCCTCCCATTCATGCAGCTCATATTGAGTTCCTGCTCTCCATTATATACTATTCTAGATATTGAAGGTTCAATGCTGGAAAATATAAGCCAAGTGCTAGAGATCAAATTGAGATTCAAAATGGTCCTAGCAAGGTAATGTCATTGACAGAATAGAAACAATAAGTCTTCATGGAATTCAGGAATCCAAAGCGCAGATTCAAGTGCCCAGTTCCAGAAGGAAGAGCCTTCCAGCTCCAACAGGAGAGCCACAGAGCTTCTACTTGGGAAGAGTTTGAGGAGCACCTTTGGAGAGGACATGACAGGCTTTGTAAAGTGATAGCCTGACTGTCTCCTCACACTGGCAGTCCATCCGGCTTATGAAAATGTATTGTGTCCTGTTGTCTATGATTATCCTGAAGACCAGAATGAAATTCTGACAAGAATGGAATTCTGTCCATCCTGGTTCTAGGGGCTCCTCTGAGGTCTGATAGGAACGCTGACTAACAAGTAAAGGGAAAAAAGAAAAAAGGGAGGAAGGAAGAAAGGAAGGAAGGAAGGAAGGAAGAAAGGGAGGGAGGAAGGAAGGAAGGAAGGAAGGAAGGGAGGGAGGAAGGAAGGAAGGAAGGAAGGAAGGAAGGAAGGAAAGAAGGACCCACATCTTGGAAGCAGTAAGTTTTCAGTCCCAGATGTCACAGAGGATCCCTGTGCTGAGCTGGATCTGGGGTTGTAGGACTGTTGAGAGATTAGTGTGGCCATGGCAGCAGGTACCCCACCACTGCAGGAACTCTGCTCTGCATTTCTCTGCACCCACCACCCCCAGACTCTGACCCCAGGGAAGAGGGAGGCTCCTGAGCCTTAGCCCACCCACACCTTCTTGGCACTGGCACACCTCCTATCATCCCAGCATGTCAGAAAGAAGCTTTTGGAGCTGGGCCAGGGACCTGTCTGGGGGTGTCATAGGCAAAGCAAGAAGGGGAGGGTGGGCACCTTGTTCTCTCTCCTCCTCCTCATCTTCACAACCAACTCTGTAAAGAACCAATTTGCTTTATCAGAAAGTCCAGCAAGCAGCTGGCTAACCAAATAGCTAGAATTCCTGCTCCAAGGCACATCTGGTCCTGATCGAGGGGAGGCTGGGGGTGACAGGCAAGGGAGGTTGAAGTAGAGGTACTGGCCAGACCTTCCCAAAGCAATGCTCCAGGCCAGTAAGGGTAGTCTGTCAGCCTGGCCAAGGGCAGACCCCAGTGACCTCCAGGGCAGTGTTCTCTGTTTGTCCCTCAATCCCACCAGTAGATTAACCTAGGCTTGCCCTCTATGGCCCTGGGAGGGGTGGGGAGAATACCCTGCCCTAGTTTGTGCAGTGGTGTTGGTCCATACTGTACTGCTCCCAACTGGAGTACCACCTTGTTCCCACCCCATTCTGCTCCTCCTGTTCCAACCATCATCACTCCATGAGCCTTCCCTAGCTCCAGTGCACCCCACGCTTACAGCATCTTTTCTAAACTTACAGCTGGGTGCCTTGGTCTCTCCCTAAAAATCACTCTGTTGCCACTCAGAGCCCTTAGCAGGGTGAGCTGAGGTTCAGAACCAGGACTCAACCCTGAAGCACTTTGAGCTTCTGGCTGTTCCTTCTAAAGAGGTTCTTCCAGCCCTCCATGTCCAAGACTTTCTGCTCTGCCGTCTTCAGATATAAGGGAGGAAGATTTCTCATGGGGGAGGGAGGTCCTTTTCAGCCCCAGGTGCTAGCCTTCTGTCCCCTCTGGTGAGTAAGTGGAACTTATCTCAGGGCCCCCTTGATTCAATAAAGGCCCTTCTTCTATGATCCAGACTGTCACAGACACAGGAAAATGAAAACGAGTAAAGCCCGAATTGCCTGGGAGGAGCGTGAGGGTATAGGAGCTGGGGCCTGTGGTAAGGCTCAAATGAAAGGCTTTCTTAAGTTTCCTGTCTCCATAAAGAGCAAGAGCAAGCAGGGACCCTGCCCTTCCTTCTGTATGGCCAGGGCCCTGACCATTGGACTTCCACAGTGCCCAAGTCATCAATCCCAGCCAGATCATACTTTCACAACAGCAGCCAGGAAACACCTGGCTGTGCATCTGTTGACCCACTAACCCAGGCCACAATGACAGAGGACATCCCTGCTCTGTGGGCTCCAAGGCATCATGGCCTTGAGGGATGGAGAGATTCAGGAAGGAGGCCAGTGGACAGATGGGGTCCATAGGTCTAGGCACCAGTCCTGTGAAATGGAGGTACTTGGTACTTCAGGACACACCTGGGGAACAACCAGACAGTGTTTCCTCCACCTTCTTGCTCTGTCCAGGATGGATCCAATCTGACTGAGTGCTAATTTAGCTACTAGCCTCCAGTTTCATCCTCCCATTGCCCCAGGGGAGACAAAGCCTCCTTCAGCTCCTTCGCTTTCTTCACCATTTCACCAGGCCTGCAGTTCCTTCCTGGGGGCTCCCAGTACCCACGATGAGGGCACAGCCAGAGCAGAGGCCAGTGGGGGTGCATAGCAGCCAGTGTAAACAGAGCAGTTCTGTCTGCCTGGGGGGAGGTTGGGAGCAGGGAGGGAGTTGTCTTGGGCTTTGTTATGTTCTGAAAAAAAAAAAGGCAAAAAATTTGGGTCACAAACCACAAACTGTTTTGCTTTCGGCATAACTGGCATAAACAGGCATTTTCTTCTTGGTTTCTGGCCGGCAGAGGCTTGGGTTGGCTGGGGCTGGGAGCGGGAGAGGCTGCAGGCTGCGCTAATGAGGCCCAAGGCCTGAGTCCAACAGCCAGAAGGGGGCTGGGCAGGGGCAGAGATGAGCAAAGCAGGTAGAGAGGCCAGGCTTGTGGGGCACTGTCAGCATGACACCACCAAAACCCCAGCCTGCCTCTGCCTGAGCAAGAGCTCCTGCTGGGAGTCAGGCCTCGGTGACTTTGTGGGGGTGGGGGATGCGACCTAAGAATCCTAGGAGTCAGAGCACTAGGGCAGGTGGAAACAAGTGCTTAAAGATGAGTCTGATGACCCGGCCCAGGGAATTGGTCCAAGGGTAAGAGGGCACCGAAGAGAAGGTCTCACATCCAGAGAAGCATGGGTCTCTGTAGTGGATACCCTGGGGTCCTCTCTCTGGCCAGCTCTGCAGTAAAACTACAGAGAACTCAGACAAGCTCTGAGAGGATCTGACAGTAGACATGTTTTGCTGTGGTCACCGCATCTCTGAGGGACTGGCAGGGGCCAGACAGCTATCTAAAGAAAACCAAACATTTGGTAGGTTCAGAACATAACCACCCAGGATGGCCACCAGGGTGATTAATGATACCAAAGGGTCTGGGAGAGAGGGCAGTCTTACAGGACTGGGTGTGGGGACACTGAGCGAGAGGACCCAGGGGATGAAGGAAGGGCGTGACACAACTGAGATATGGGGAAGAGGTCATATGCTGAAGAACCCCAAAGCCTACATACAGTCCGTGTGAGCCACAGAAGATTCTAGATGGAGACTGGCAAGATCTGGACCAGTCATTCTGGTTTCATGGGGGATATGTCTAGAGGGAGCTGAGAGTCTGTCTTGGGGTTTGTGGGCATGGAGAGAATGGGTAGAAGGATCTTTAGTATGTCCTGGGGGAAACAAATGGGCACAGAAGGTACCATTTTGAATCCTGTTCACTTCATTCCTAGAGACTTTGTGGGGCACATGCATATGAAGTGCCATTGTGTACAGGGTGCCTAGGGTAGGCCTTGTGGAGGATGGCCAAGTCAAGAAGGCTACATGGGGCAGTTCTCTCAGGGGAACTGATACAGGCAGGGCAGCCCTTGAAAAGGCTCAGAGGCTCCCAGATGTCAGACTCTTGTGTCTGGGACAGTTGTTGGAGGTAGTAGTGGCTGACTGGGTGTGTCAGGGTGGCTTCAGATCGCCATGAGTTGGTTGGTTTATCTAGAAACTGCTGGCATGTTTTAAACAGTAGAATGGCGTCTGGTCTTTTTACCATACCACTACCTTGGTGCTGCAAGGAAATGAATGGAGCAGGTAGGGCAATGGAGGTGTGACCTGGCAGAGGTCAGACCACTGAATAGAAGCTCCTCTTGCTGTGGAAACTTCCATATCCAGAACTGGGCTGTAATAGAGTATGGGCAATTCCTTTCCTAAACAACCCCAAATGTGGAGCTTCTACAACAGGAACACATTCTCTTAGAGACCAGGAGCCTAGCATCAACTATCAAGATGTGCCAAGGCCACACACCTCCTCCCAGGGTTCCAGATGGTGGTCCTTCCTCCCTCTTCCAACTTCCAGGGCCCTCAGGCTTGTGACTACATCACTCCAGTCCCTGCCTCTCTCTTTGTAACCTTATTCCTTCTGTAACATTTTCTGCCTCATGTCTTCATTTGAGTTAGGCCTATCCTAAGTTAAAAATAATGTCATCGCAAAATCTTTATATATTTTTGAAGACCCTTCCTTTCTCTAAATAAGGTCACATTCATAGGTCCCAGGGTCAGGAGATAAATATCTCTTTCTAGAGGACGCCATTCACCCCACTGAAGAGATGTTCATGTTTGTTGAGTGAATAGCAATGGCCTATATGGCCTCCTGCTGCTACAACCCTACCCCATCCCAAGTTAATCTCTAATACTCCAAGCCCAGCCATGCACATCTCTCCCTCACATGCTCTTCTCTACACTTGCTGCATTCTGTGTAAGTGTCATCTTGGGGAGGCCTATTCAGTACTTCTACCACACTTACCCAGCTACTGCCAAGGCATCCTCAACATTATAGGTGCCCCCCCACATGTGTGGATGGGGTAAGGGATAGACGGGCGGATGGTGGGTGGGCAATTGATATTTAGACAGACGGTTGGCAAGTGAGCAGGTAAGCAGATGGGTAGATACATAGGTGACTTATTGAATCAGTGAGTGGATAGAGGATTGAGTCATAATGGATGGGTGGATAGATGGTTGAGTAGTGGGTAGGTAGATGAATAGATTAGTGGATGAGTGGGTGGGTGGATGAATAAATGGGTGGTAGGTGTATTGCGTGGGTTGATGAATGGGTGAATAGGTGGACGAATAGATAGATGAGTGGATTAGCATATGGATGGGTAGAATGGTGGGTGGGTGGGTAGATATATAGATAGATAGATGAGAGGTTAGATGGATGAATATGCGAGTATGTTTTTGTGGGATGTGTGAATGGGTAGATGGGTGAGTGGATGGATGGATTGTTAAGTAGATGGGTGGCTGAGTACACAGGAGGAAAAGTTGGGGGATGGGTGGTTGCATGAATGAGCAGGTGGGTAGATGGCTAGATGGGTGTGGAGATGAGTGGGCAGATAGGTGGCTGAATGTGTGAGTGGATGGGTGAATGGATGATATAATGGATGTATGGATGCTATGAATGGGTAGGTGGGTATATAAGGGATGTATGGAGGCTATGGATGGGTATGTGGGTATATAATGGATGTATGGATGCTATCGATAGGTGGGTGGATAGACTGATATGTAGAGAAGTGTGTGCATCAATGAATGGGAGATAGATGAATGAATGGGTGAATGGGTACATGGGTGGTGGGTGAATAAATGGGCAAGGATAGGTGGATGAATGTATGGATATAGAGAGATTAGTGGGTGGATAGGTAGGGACATGGATGGTGGATGGCTGGGTGGACTTAGTGGATGAATGGATAGATTGGTGGGTGAATAAGCATGCATCAGTGGGTAAATGAATGGGTGGGTAAGGGGATGGATGGATGGCTAAATGTATATGAGTAGACACATGTGTGGACGTTTGGGTAGATATGTGGGTATATGTATGCAATAGATGAGCAGGAGGATAGATGGATGGGTGATTGATGGGAGGATGGATAGACAAGAGGGTACATGAATGAGAGCTAGAAATGTGGGCAGACAGAGAGACAGACAAATAACTGGATCTTGGTAGTGAAGAGCTTTGACAAACGGAAAGGAAAGAAAAGAGAGCTCAAGACTGTCCTGGTGCACCCAGGGTAGGGGGTGAGGCAGCCCTGGAGGGGTTTCTGAGAGGTGAGAACTAATCCAAAAGGTCTGGGCAAAGCGGTTGATTATACCATGACTTCAGAGAGGCCAGAGGATGTCAGGGTGTCAGGCAGGTACCAGGGAAGGCAGGCATCCACTGCTGTGGGAGGAGAGGACAACTACAGTGGAGTGAGAAGCCACCCTGGGAACTCTAGGGGTGCAGCAAGGGACAAGTGGAGACAGCAGAAGGTACCAATAACTCCAGATTTGGGTGATCTTGCCTAGCAAGTCAGGAAGGGACCAGCCTGGGAAAGGGGCACCTAATGCCAGCTCCATAGGGGCCTGAGTCACTGTGGGATTGACAGAGAGTAGACAAACCCACAGTGGGCTTTCAGGGGTTCATGGAGGGGAACACCAAGAGCATTGTCCTCAGGGGAGCGGGCAGCTCTGGGCCTTCCTCCAGCCACAGCAGACACTGAAGGCTTTCAGAGGACTCACTGGCTGGGAAGGTGATCTGCCCATAGTGTGGAGTTCAGATCCAGGCCCCATCCTAGCCTCAACTCTGTCAAGACAGGACTGTCTCAGAAGCCCAGTCCCCTTTATTTCCACTTTGCTGCTGTCTAGTTTTCCTCTTCAAGGATGAGCTTGCTTCTTCCAAGCAGTCCCCCGTGACCACTGCACACCCTGAGTTTAAAAGCAGCCTTGGCTATGTATGCTGCCCTGGGGATATCCCTGCAGACCTCCAGAACACCCCCACAGCATGACCAGCAAAGGACCCTATAGTGAAAACAAAACAAAAAACTAACACTTACTGGTATGCTGCCTCACACCTATAATTTCAGCATTTGGGGGGCTGACGCAGGAGGATTGGGATTGCTATGAGTTCTAGACCACCATGGACATCCATATGCAGTTGTTCCAAGCTTGCCTGGGGTAGAGTGTGAGACTCTATTTCACAAAACTAGCCAAACAATAAAAAAAAAATGCTGGCGTGAGGAAATGACTGGAAAAAGGGCAGGGTCCCCGGCACAGAGCCTCACCAGCTGCCCCAGTTTCCCTCCACATGGGGGAAGGGCAGATGCCCGCTTGCCCTGGGAAAAGTTGGGGGAAAGGCTAAGGAAGAATGAAGTAGAAAGGAGATATCCAAGCCAGGCTTCAAGCATCTAGGGTCTGGCCTCACTTTTCTCCCAGGGACCCCAAGGACCATCGCCACTGTACAGATAAGTCTAGTGACTACCGACAGACTCCAGCATAGCCTTCAGAGAGGGAACAGTGGAGGTGACTACATGTGAAGGGAACCCATCCCAGGTGTTTGTCACCCTGATTCCCCATGTCCAACACTAACTAGGGTTCCTGAAGTATCCTGGTCCCCAACTCCCAATCCCCAAAGCTGAGGGCATTGATCCCCGGGATGAGTACTCTTGGCAATGACCCGTTAGAAAAGCATCATGGGATTCCCTCTAGTCTCTCAGCACCCCATCTTTGATGATTTGTGGCCTAAAGTTGTCCCTAACCCTCTGGGTTCCTCAGAGAGTGCCTCACTGAGCCCACTGTGTAAGACCTAGAGGGATGCACACTTCAAAGGCTGTCCTCTTCACCTGCCATCTCTCAGGCAGCAGGCACACTTCTTCCTGCCCTTCCCACCCAACTTTCCCTCCTTTTGACCCCCAAATAAAATAGCAAAGAACTCAGAAAATAGAATTTTAAATGCTTTATTAGGTTTGCAAGCGATAACAGGTTAAAAACAAAACCCCAGCATTGGATTTTGCCAGAAATAGCATGTTAAAGGGACTGAGTTGGGGCAAACACCTCGGACACTGCTAAGATGACACAGACAGTGGCACAGGTGACATATGGCATTTGACACGTGGGGAGTCTTCATGTGATGACAAAGGGAGGGACCCAAGAGGGGATCCCGCCGAAGACAATAGGGAAGAGACAAGATGGAGGGCCACACTAGGCATGGGAGGTCAGGTAGGTGCCTGCATCAAAGTGACCTATGTGGGGAGAACCTCAAATTTGGGGACACAGAGGGTGGTCAGCAAATGCCTTTGGAAGCACCCATCCTGGCGAGGCAAATTAACACTGGGTGGGTGGCTTCCAGCCGAATGGGCAGATAATTTAGGGTGCCTCGAGATCTTTTGGGTATCAGGCCAATTCATACTTTCCAATTATAACAATTTACTCTTTTAGTTTCTGTCCAATGTTCCAAATGGCCTCTTCTTCAGGCACTTGCTGAGGAACCCTCTGTGCCATGGTCGGGCTGACACACACCGCCCCCAAGGGTGGTGCCAGCCCCGTCACCTGGGCCCAGAAGCCTCAGGCCTCTAGACTGCTAGTGGACTGTTGGGCAGGGGGACTGCACTGGAAGCAGAAGTGGGGGTGAGGTAAACCTCCAGCCGCCCTGGTCCCTGCCACAGTCCTAGGCACCGTGGGGTGGCTGCAACGGCTCGCCAGACCCTTGGGCCTCGGGGTCCAGGTGACCCCGTGTATACAGCTCTCCTGGCTCTGCAGGCTTTAAGCCTCCTAGCTTCCCCAACTCCAGGCCTCACCCCACCCTGTCCACAGGAGGTCTGTAGAGCTCCAGACCTCCTGGGGACAAGGTGGGGTGCTGAGAAGTGGGTAAGATGACACTAAGGGACGGGGGGCTAGGACTCCCCAAGTACTCAGAAGGCAGCCACTTGCTCCAGCCTGATGGAACCTGTCTATTCTCACATCTACATTCCCTTCCCCCCCAACTGGCAGTGGCCAGATGGGGGCCCCATCTTTGTGGCCTCCGAGCACCTTCCTAACACCTGAGGGGACACTGTCCCACGCCCCCTCCACTTCTCAGAACTTCTGGGGACCAGCCACTGTCCTCAGAAGCCAGGCCAGGCAGCGGCCTTCTCGATTCCTTTTATTTCTCTGTGGGTGCGTGGCCAGCACCCCACAGAGACTCCACTCCCAACTCAGGCCAAGCGACAGAGACAGATTAAAAACAAAAAAATCAATAAGGGTGATAAATGGCGGAGAGCAGGACATGATGGTAATTGGCGATGAGAGCTAGTTGCATTCATTACTTGGTCACTGCTCCCCTGTTACTTAGGGAGTGGGTACAATTGATTATGCGCGCATAAAAAGCTAAGGAGGGATCAAAAAAAAAAAAAAGAAAAAAAAAAGGAAAGATGCCCCAAGAAACAAAAAGAGGGGAATAGATCAATTGGCGTAAAATTTGGGCTTCTAATTCTTTTGTAATTCTGCAAGTTGGCCTGTGCCTCCTCCTGATTCTTCCATCCAAAACCTCTCTGGGACCACTTCCTACCCATAGCTCCCCCCACCCAGCCCCCACTGCCCCCCACCCACCCCTCCAACCGCCAGACTTCCCACACTCCCCACCATCAGTGTGAGTCTCCTGGGGAGCCCCGTAGGGGGGCTCCCCAGGAGACTGACAGAGATGGCCCATAGGTGTGCTCAGGGTAGGGGGTATCCCCCAGATCTTTCCTCCTAAAAACACACCCAGGGGTCAGACTACTCGGGCAGCATGTCTCACTTGGCAGTGCCATCTCCTTATCTAGCCAAACTTATTCTACACTGGGAGAGGCCAATGCACAGCATGGATAGGCACTGGCCCAATGGTGGGCTGGGGAGCACTGGGCTCACGCTGTAGTGGTCCCTAGGGACCGGTGCTCAGGTGAAAGTGAGCCTTGTAGGAACACCTCCCTCCCTAGGAAAGATAGAACTTACAGCCAGATCATACACAGGGCCCACAAGCAGCAGCAGAAACTAGATGGATTGGGAGGGGGAGCTCAAACCATGCTAACTGCTCAGGGAATTTGGGAAGAATCTTGGTTTGGGCAATATGGTTCTAAAAGGAGTTATTCAGTCATTTCAATATTCTCATCTAATTGTTAGGGGTATTCATATCTGTATGGATGCGTGAATGAGTGTGTAAGTGTAGTGTATGTGCGTGCAAATATGGCGCATACTTGTGTGTGTGTGTGTGTGTGTGCGTGTCTGTGAGTCTGTAGGGATGTGTATAAACATGTGCTTTTTAGGTAGGTACAGAAAAGTGAGATTTTGGGATTTGGGGGCTTGTGCCAATTAAGTTTTGTTTCCAGTTTTAATGCTCTGTTCCTCTCCTGGGATTCTTTCACCCAGCGCCATGGCGACATGGTGACATTTGTGATGGAATGTCCAGTGAAGAAAGAGTTTGGGTGGCTTCCGTTGTTCTCAGCCAGCTTATTCTAAAAGCACCCTATCTGAGTGGTGACAAGGAGAGAGCACTGAAGCGATGACATGCTACCTGGAAAATGTTGGGTTCCCTTCCTTTCTTCTTGGGTTCTGAGATCCAAGTCTAAGCCAATTTGACTAAAGATCCAAATGGGAAGAAGAGGAAGGGGGGGGCCGAATTACTTTATTTTGCCAATTGTTTCTAAGCCAATTAATTTTTAGCACCTTTTAGCCAATTGATTTCTTTAGTTATTTAATTTTTAAATGAACAGTTCTGGTGTTTCTAAAAAGCCAATTTGTTTTAAAGGGGACTGTATGTTTTAAAGTTTTTTTTTAAAGAATAATTTGGGGGGTCACTTAGGTTGTTTAGAGCCAATCAATTTGGTTTTGAAGAGTTGCCCGATGGTGTGGGGCAAGGGGAGTAGCCTGATGTGGGGAGGCGGGGCATGGGGGTAGGTGGGGAGAAGCCTAGGGAAGGAAGTGGAGCAGAGAGATCTTAGTGTGGACGTGATGGAACTGTCCCTTGCTCAAGAGGAGGTCGCAGAGTGATGGTACTACATTGCAGAATTACCAAACAATTTGGTTCACTGATGATTGCTGGACATCTCCGAAGAGACTCCCCCCGTGGGCGGGGTCGATGGGTGGTAAGACGATCAGGGGACGGTGACGCTTGGCCTCTCTGAACGCTTCGAGCTCTCTGGCGAGCATGCGACCCCGGCGGGCACGCAGGAGGGCAGGCAGGCCTCTGCGCAGGCGTTGGAAGGACTGTCTCCAGGTGTCGTATTGGAAAAACTTGCCCACGGGGAATCTGGGGAAGTCGTCCTTAAGAGGAGGCGCTAGTCAGCAGGTGTCAGGGTATCATGTTAGCCTGAGTACCAGGTCTCACATGCTCCACCCCCATTAGAGTCACATCAGCTTATAGCAACTCCCCACAAATATCTATGGATGAACCCTATGACACCCCAAATCAAGAAGCTGATGGTCTCTTTGTCCCACCCCACCATTCCCCCAACCCCACCCTGCTACCTAAAAATTTGCCCTCTGTCCCAAGTCCCAAGCCTCACCGGAAGCACGGTCGGAGAGGTCGACACATCCCTCTCGGACTTGGCGGGGGTGGCACAGTATGTCTCCAGGAGGGCCAGGTCGCAGCTGCGGAAGCAGCACTCTTCCACGATGCCACGGCTGCGACGGTTGGCACGGCTTGAAGGCCTGCCTGGAAGTTCCACAGGAACAGAGCGCTTTAGTAAGCATCAACTGGGGTCAGCACCCATTAGGGCAGCCTCCCTAGGCCCCAGGGAAGGCTGCACAAGGAAAAAACTACGCCTGCCCTCCCACTAGGTCACCCTGCGGGAATGAGGTAGAAGTGTGAGCCAGGTGGGCCAAGATGCCCAGAAAGGAGAAATGAAGGTGCATGCTGCAGGACCAGCCCCTGGCCTCTGGAGCCTCCTTTCTGGCAACTAACTTGGCACGGTCTCTCTGTCCCACAAACTCCATACAGACCAGAGGCCACATTGGAGTGATTTGGAAAACAGGGATGAGGAGAGGGGGAGCCCCGCAAGGGGGTCATTGTGGACACAACTATGGTCCCTGGACTTGGGGCCCTGGCCTGGTGCCACCTTGAGCCTGAGGGGCCCCACCCCCAGCCCCCAGCCCTGAGCTGAGACAGGGAAGATAGGGTAGGAGAGAACAAGACGGGAGGGGAGGAGTGAGGCACCCAAAACCAACTCCCTTCTCTTCTCCCGTCTTCCTTCTCTCCCCCACGCACTCAGGTCCATGGCTGGGATGGGGGTAGAGCCACTGAAGGCTCCACCTTGGACCCTCCTATTCTGAAGCCCCTCTGTGCAGGAGTGGCTCCTGGAACAAGGGCTGGTCCTGCAGTGGCAGAGGGTGCAGAGAAGCCAGGTGGGGGAAGCTTCAGAGTGATGAGGAGCAGGAGTGGTTTCCAGAGTTTGAAGTGGAAGTGCCTCAGAGCAGTTCACAGGCAGGTGGTGGAAGAGCAGAGGAGGCTGCATGTCCAGGGCCAGGTGAGGAAGACAGAATGGCCCATGCCAGCGAAGAGAGTCATCCATTCTGGTGCCCCTGCCCTCCCAGGTATGCCCCACCTGGGTGTTCCCCATCGCTCTGTTCTGTAAGCAGGGAACCCATGCCCAGCCCCGCGCCCCCAGGCTAGGAAATCAAGAGAAGTGTGAGCAATACGGAAAGCAGATAAGCACCCCGTGTTGTAGCTCTAGGAACCCCTGAATTTATATGGTAAAGGTCCAGCTCCCCCCTTGTATCCCCCAAGCTGCACGTATACTCAGCCTAGCCAAGACCCGACAACCACATTTGGTTTTACTTCTATTAGCTATCAGACTTTGAGTATGAGACCACAGCCCTCCCCAAGGGGGAGGGGGTAACATAAGTCCAAAGCCAAACCAGTATGTCCTAACTGTCACCCCACCGAGGGAGGCCTGACCCTGCCCTTCCCCCATCCCACGTGTCTGGAGTTACTTACTGAAGTAAAAGCCGCGGTCCGCACAGACAAACTGTAGCGTGTCAACAAGCTCCCCACCGCACAGGGTCTCGCTGGGGCGGTAAGCAGCGATGCAGCACGAGGCGAAGGCCAAAGAGATGAGAAGCACCAACATCGACTTCCCCATTGGGATCCCCATTGGTATCTGGAAAAAGGGATGCAGGCTTGAGTTAGAGGTCCCAAGCCACACCCATGGTCCCAAGATGCTCCTCTCCACCAAAGACATCTATCATCTCTTAAATTGAAAACGCAATTGAAATTTGAAAGGCAGCTTTCTCATTATTTATTTGACCTGAGAAAATGGGAGCCCTTGAATTGTGGAGGTGAAAAAAACAAAAAACAAAACAAAACACTTGAGTGTGGAGAAACTCAAGGGAGTCCAGGAAGGCACCCCGTGGTGGCTTTGAACTGTAAGAAACCATCAAGGACCACCCACTCATAGGCGCAATTGTAGCTTGACCACACCCACAGCAGCAAGGGCCAGTGATGGACACTGGACACTGGACCTGGTTCCCATGTTATGACATAATGGGGGTGGGGCCAGCCCAAGGGCACATCACCATTGCCACTCCTACCCTGGCCTCCAAGCACTGGCCAAGATGGCAGATAGCTCCACCCCACCCACCATGGAGCATGTGCGCCCAAAGGAGCGAGCTGCCAACCTCCCTGCCCCCCAGCTGGTCACCCCTCCCTAAGCAGCAGAGCCAACTCTGCCCGTCCAACCCCCACTCCACACTGAGCTGGGGTCAGGTCAAGAATTCAATGGTTAGCGCAATGGGACTTCTGGCACTCCCGTGAGCCTTGCTCTCCAGGGTCACCCAGTCCTCCAAGTCCAGACTTTCCTGGGCACCCCAGAGTTCAAGAGAAAGCCTAAAGTCCCGTACTAGGCCTCAACTCTTTCTATTCCCGATAAGGGACCTTGGAGAGCCCCTCTATGGCCCATAGGTTCATCTTTCAAATAGGAACTAAATTCTACCTAGGGTCCTAGAGACAGCAGTTCAGGTCCCTGGGAGGCTGAACACCCCAGCATGGAGGGACACACCCCCTCCACAGGCCAAAGATCGTGTGGCCACAGGCTGGGGCAATGGCTAGTTAGTTTCTTTAGGGATTAGAGGCCACCGTGGTCCACAGTAAACCACCCTTGACCCTGCAGAAAGTAGAGCCCTCCAGGCCGCAGCCCCAGCCTCTGCTCCACAGGCCCAGAAAAGGGTTTCGTGCTGCAAAGAAAACATGTGTGAGACCAATGCAGAATAGTCAAGAAACAAACTTGTTTGAGCTCCTTGGGTAACTAAAAAGCACCTTGGCCCACCTCCTCTAGAAGACACAGCCCCACCGCCCAACACCCTCTATGCTGCCACCACTGCTTGCAATCAGCCGGCCATAGCTGCAGCGGTTAGTCTTGGGGGGGGGGGGGGCAGACGGAGCTGACCTCGAAGTCCCTTCCCAAAGTCAGATCACACCGGCTCCAGGACCAGCCCAGGTGGCTAGCAGAAGCAGGCAGGAGACTGACCAAGAGGTAAGGGATAGGTGGGGGCCCAGGGAAGGCCCAAATTTGCTGGAAGGGGCAGGCAGAGGGGGAGGAAAAGCAACAGGGCAGGTGAGGAAGGTTGGGGCTATGGGGAGCACAGGACAGAAGCCGAGGGGAGGATGAAGGCTGGTGAGAGGCAGCAGGCCTGGCTGCAAGGGCGGAGGCCCCAGGCTAGCCGGTGCCCAGACCACCCCACGGGGCAGGCCGGAGGAGGATGGCAGCAGGGTCCTGGCTCCACGGCCCTGGTTACCTGAAGTTGGATAAGAAGGCCGCTGGGGCTGGAAGAGGAGGAAGACAGGAAAAGGCTGGAAGGCTCTCACAGGAGAAGCTAATGTCCAGTTTGCGAGCTGGTCAGTGCCTCGGCTTTTATGTCTGAGTCGGCTCCTCCCAGTCCCGGCTCCACCCTACCCCCACCCCCCTCCCTACTGACCACTCCCCCCGCCCCCTTTGCACCCGCCCCCTCCCTCCTTTCAGCCAGTCCCTTTTCTCCTGCACCCCCAACAGCTAACCTTGGTCCACTCCTTAGCAAAGCACCACCAGTGGGGGGGGCCTCATCGTGCTCCCCCAGCCCTCTCTGCACAGACTAATGGGGGCGGGGAGGGGGCTCCTTTCCACATCCTCCCATGGAAAGTTCCACCCAGTAAAAGGCAGGGGGCAGTTATTCCTGTTTAGATTGTAACATTTCTGTGCTTCTAAGCCCGAAAGCGGCCCCTCTCCCCACATTCCAGGTTGGGAACGTTGGGGACAGAGTTGGGGTGTGCATGTGTGTGGGGGGAACAGAGAACTGTGGCGTCTGGCTGGCCTAGCTCCTTTGCCAATTTGGGGGGGCTCCTAGCCCCGCCCATTCACTTTTCCTCTCTCAGTCTCATTGGCACCAAGTCAACATACCAGGGTGGGCTTCGGAGACTCTACCCCCACTCCTCATCACTCAGCACCCTGGGGGAACAGGGCCTGCACAACACGAGTCATACATTTTAAAGCAGCTTACTCCTCCTCCCCAACACGCACCAAAGGACCAGAAGTCTCCAGTGAGTTCAACTTACACACCCCCTCCCAACTAGACCCCAGACCCCTGCCCCCTCCCCCACACTCACCCCACGGCGCAAGGGGGAGCGCGAGTTTGCAGAGGGAACGGCCCCCAGCCCCCAACCCCGACCGCACCAGTCCCACCAAGCCCAGGCCAGTCCCTGCGTTCTCTCCTGGGGCCCCTGAGAGCCCTTACCTGGAAGCCGGCGATGCTGCTGCCCACCTCCCTGCTGCGAGTTTGCAAACCGAACAGCGGGCGAAGGCCCTTCTGCCGGGCACTCCTCTGCCAGCCCCGCTCTGACCGAGTCGCGGGGGCCGAATGTGCGACGGGATAGAACGGGGGGATGGCTTTTAGGTGGGGGGGGACGACGTCTCTTCTGCTTCTTTAGGGAGGACGGGGTATCTTAGGGCTGGGGCGGGCCAGATATTATACTTTCGGGGGGGGAAAAGGTATCGGGAAATGAGGTCAGCTGTTGTATCAAGGATAGTTGGGGGGCAGAGATAGTGAGAGAGATAGAGTGAACGTGAAACGGGGGGGACCACAGAGAGGGAGAGAAGAAGAGAGGACACTGAGAGGCGGGTAGGCTCACAGCGGGAGAGGACAGAACCGAGAGAAACAGAAAGCTTATAATTAATCCACTTGGGTAGGCGAAGGCAGAGGGAGGACGTGAGAGGGGAGGGCGTCTGAGGCGAGGAGGAGCGGGGAGGGGGCAGGAGGGGAGCCTAGGAAAGGTGGCGGGTAAGTGCGGGCGGGGGGCGCACCGCAAGCAGAGGAAAGAACGCAACTTCGAAGGGCCGAGGACGGTGGTGAGGGGGGAGGAATGGAGGCGTCACCCCGGCCACGGGCACCCAGCTCGGTTAGGGCCGACGGAGCCCTCTGCCGTCGTAAGCCCGGGCCTCTTGGGGGGGACAGGCGTGGCGGCGCCGCGGCCACTCGGGATTGCAGCGAGAAGAGGGGAGCGGCCGGGCCACGCGCCGGGGAGGGCTGGAAAGGGGAGCGCGGGGGATGACAACGCCGGCGACCTGCAAGCCGGACTGCCTGCGGTGGGGACCGCCTCCTCTAGCGAAGCAGGAATGGGGTGTTGAGGTAGATAGAGGAGGAGGCGGCGGGGAGATCCGCAGGCCCGACGGAGCGCGGCCCCGCCGACGGCGCCCTGCGCGGGAGTTAGCAGCGAGGCGGCGGACGGCGTCGACGCGGGGCCGCCAGCCCGGATGGAGGCGCTGGCGGGCCGAGCGCGGGCGGGCGTGGGCCAGGAGGCGGGGGCGGCCGGAAGGGGGGGCCGGGGACCCGCCTGGCCTCACGCAGCTCCGCCGGAGAGCAGGCGAACTCTGGGCGCCAACGCCCGGTTCTTATAGCCGCACCACCCCGCGGCTCGGCGCCCGCTCGGGCCCCGCTGGCCTTACGCCCGCGCCAATGGGCGCCTGCAGGGCCCTCGCCCCGCCCCGGGACCGCCCCCGCAACTCGAGCCAGGGGGGGGGAATGCGGGCCAGGGGCCATGGGCGCGGGGTTGATGGTGGGGGGGGCGTGCGGTGCGTGGTCCAGAGGCTGGCGGAGGGGGTGGGGGGAGGCTGGCCGCCCCAGCAGGCCCACGAAATAAGGGGTACTCGGTCCAAAAAAAAATCGAGGCCGAATGTCATGTTTCCGGGGTGCCCTGTACTTGTTGCGACAGGGGCGCGTAGTGTGAACCAACGTGCGTGGCACCCTAGGCCTCAGTGATAGTGAGGGGACCTGTGCTCAGTTAGAGGGTTACAAAGTAGGCGCATCCTGGCACACAGCTCAGGCTCAGGTAGCTGGGTGCTGGGTCGAAGGTCCTCACAGGGACCTACCTGACAGGGTCCTCACAGAGACCTACCTGACAGGTAATGGACGGTCCCTAGGATCGGCTAGGGTGGAGCGAACAGCCGCCACCTGCCTGAGCAGGCAGGGCGGGCTGCGAGGCACCTCGAGTCTCAGCCAGATCCCGAGCGCCCCCCGGTGCTTTTAGTAGGATACCTGAGCAGCCTGGGGGTGGGGAGGGCACCAGGTGCGCCACGAAGGGAAGGCTGGTTTGGCCACGCCGGAGTTAGGCCCTGCGTGGAGCCCAGCTCAATGTCTGCACCCTTAGGCAGAGAAAGAAGCAGGTCAGGAAACGTAGCTCAAACCATACCTGTAAGCCAGAGCTCACTGGAGTGCGTCTAAGCAGCGCGCCTTTGGGACCCACCCAGAATATCCGGATAACAGTTCCCTCGTCCTCAGTGCATCGAACTTGCGTAGATGCGGGTTCGGCCCCAGGGGCCACCACGATAATTTGGGGATCTGAGGAAACCATCTCCTGGAAGGTTCGGACGATGTAAGAAGCCACTGTGATTTTTACTGAGTCAAAACCACTCACAAACCGGTGCACCCTGCTCCCCACCACCCCACGCCGAGCACCTCTAGGAGTGAAAGGGGCCACCACCGGCGGAAACCCGCACGCCCCGGGCTAGCCTCTGGGCCTGGCCATCAATCACCGAGCCCGCGCTCTGCGCACGCACGCCTCCCCAAACCCTCAACCCGTAGGGCTGGAGGCTCCAAGCAGCCGGAGCGCTCATCGCCTCTCCCTAGCTTGCTTAGCCCAACGCTCTGCCCTTCCTTGGCCGCCAGGCGCTTTCCCTACCACCGCGTTGTTTGCAGAGAGAACGCAAAGAGGCGCGTGTTTCTGGGAGCCCACCTCAAGGGCGCCCCGCGCCGCCGAGGGAGAAGCTATCAGCCCGCTCCCGCCCCGCGCTACTCAGCAGCAGCCCTGGGGACTAGCTGTGAGGTAGCCTGATGCCTGCAGTCGCAGGGCTGAGGCGCGGGTTGCGCACCACGGGGAGCTCACCGCAAGGCCGAAGGTCGGGTCCGCAGGCACAGGAGGATGCGAGGAGAAGGGCCGGAGAGGCTCTGTGGAGCGCAGTGGACGCCGCTGAAGGTGAGCGAGACCCCAAAGGCAGTCCCCAGTGTCCCGGGGCAACGCCCAGTCCGTTGAAAGACCCGGGGACAATGCCCAAATTTGGGGGAAACTGGGGGCAATGCCCAGTCGTTTTCCTGGACGAGGGAGCAGCACTGCCCACGTCCTGGCCGTCGTGCAGTGTCCTGAGCGTGTTTGGGGCACACAGAGTTTTCCAAAATCTGAGCTGCCGCCGGGACACCGTAGGAAACTGCAGAGGCCGAAACCAATGTTATGCGCAGGACAGGGGAAGCTGCCGAGAGTGGCCAGCGGAAACAATACTCAAATTTCGGGGATCCCAAGTCAGACCCTTGTTTGATTTGCTGCCCTGTGAATGAGTGTCCCGAAGCAGGGGGGGCTAGAGGGAGACTGCACAAACGGGAAAACTGTTGTTAATCACTAAATTAGAGATTCCAGAAAAATTAGAATCCAAATTGGGGAATGAGGGAAATTATTCTATGCAAAAAAAAAAAAAAAAAAAGGGACATTGTGACCCAGTCCTAACTTGGGGAACCCAACATCTTTGTCTGCAAGCTTGGGAAACCCACAAAGTCCAAGACTAATTTGTACAAGTTAGGTGGTTTGTTGTTGTTGAGATTAAGAAAATTCCCTACATGAAATCTGGGGGAGTTTCATTTTAATTGCTTAAAATTAGGAGATGGGCTTTTAGGGATCAAGGTCAATTCTTTTGGGGGGTCAGGAGTGGAGACTAAGGTTTATCCTTGAGGTCGGTGGACCTTGTAGCACCCGGGAAAAAAAAATCACCTGTATAATTTCTGTGGCTTCAAAGACGTCCTTCAGAGAACGGGGAAATGCTGTCTCAAAGTGGGCGAATTGGAAGTGTAGGCAGTCCATTTGAGGAAGACAGAAAATCAATGTCGTTTAATATTTTAATTTCTTAGACAGATTTCAGTTGGTCTTTTTGTTGAGCAAAGGGGAAGTTTGTATGTTTTCTCGGACAATGTTTGTGCTTGGAGAAACGTACTCCGAGTTTTAGGGATCAATAAAAATTACCCAATGGATGTTGAAATCTAAATTGCAGGAAGTAGAATTATTAGCTAGAAAATGTGTAAGGCATAGACCTTTAAAACCTAGAATTTGGGGAATCTGGGACGTTTTCCACTGTGCTTTGGGGACCATAAAACATTGTTTAAATTTAGGAAGACTCTGGCAGGAGTCATAAATTCTACAAAGTTCATTACAATTTAATAAAAAAAATCCATCTCTTTGAAAGAAAAAAATCTCATTTGCTTTGGAGTTCCTGAATTTGGGGGTCCCAGGAAAATAATTTCTGAATCTAAAGTTTCCCAATATCCTTGGAGCACTTTAGGGCTAACTACTACAATTTAAGGAATAGAGAGTATAAGTTCCTAAATCATGGGGACTAAGAATCAATGCCCCAAATTTGTAATCTGTAGAGATTGTGCAGGGTGACTGGGGAAAAAAAGTTGAAGTGTAAGAGTCTGAGTGGGTGCGAGGTTGGCACTACAGCAGGAGATAGCAGAAACTAACTAAATGTGTTTGGGGGCCTGGAAAACATTGCCTAATGTTTGAGGACACTCAGCATGGGCCAACGTGGGGAATGAGAAGGGTCCAGGATGGTACTGGACTTTGCAACTGGTGTTTGAATTTTTTTCTCCTTTTTAAATTGGTAAGCTAAAAGGACCCAGGGATTCTTAATACTTAGTAAGAGAAAATGCTCAGACTGCTTATAAAGAAATAGGCTTTGGCCAAGGGTTAATTTTGTGCCTTTTGTGGCCCAGAGAGACATATATGACTTGAGAGCATAGCTCTCACCACATGTGAGCACACGCTTAGCCTGCTTTGGGGGCTTGCATGAGGGCATCTGTATTTTAAAGAACCCTAACCGTGGCCAGAAAGTTTGCAGGAGCCCTAGAGTCCCCCCCCCACGTGACCCTTGTGTATGAGGGGTACGGGGGTTCTTGTTGAGTGAGTTTTAGATGTAATTGGTGAAGGCAGTCCCTCGATTTTCTGGAACCCGGAGAATGAGTGTAGGCTGCTTGAATTGCCTACATTTAGGGGAGGACATAGAAAGAAAGGCTTGAACTTTGAGGGTTCCAGGAAAATTGTTAAGGAGGTCTGGGCGGGTTTCAACTTGTACAATTTGGGGTTGGGGCAACAGACTACAGAATCTAGTGTCTTATGTTCCACACTAATAAAACTAGGGGACGGGTGGGGGGGAAAGAGAATGGGATCAGTGCCGCAGATACAAAATTATCGGACACGGGAAAATGCAGATACAAAATTATCGGACACGGGAAAATACGCCCCCCCGCCGCCCCGTGGATACAGCGTCTAAAGGCTCTGAAACTGTCCACTCTCCCGAGTAAGGAAAATTTGTCAGAAGGACTAAGAACGCCGGCTTATGTTTACATTTTAGGAAACTGAGGTAGGAACTTGCATATGAAACTGTGAAGAGACAGGAGCAAACTTGGGGGTCCAGGCCACATAATCTATTTTTTTGTTAGGCAGGAGAGGCAGAATTCCCACCTTTTGAAATGTTTAGAAATCAAATGTCAAGGGCAAAAAAGTTTCGCTTGTGAGAAGAACAAACACGAAAAGATTTTTGGAGGGGCCGGAAAGCTATGCTTAAATTTTGAGGATCTCAACAAAACAACGCCCGAGGGGCAGAAAAGCCGGCAAGTTGCTCTGGCTGCCCATAGACCACAGTGCACTAAGCTGCATTTGAGAAACTGAGCTCCCAGGACAGGGCGCCAGGATCGGCGGTGCCAGGGAACTCACACGGAGCAGGGGCGCCCTCACGGGGGAACGCGGGCTTGGGAAAGGGGCGCAGGCAGAGCTGACAGGGAGCACCCGGCCGCGGAGCCTGCGCCCGCGCCAGCTGCTTTTTTTCGTTCTTTTGCCTTATAGCCACCCACAGGGCTCCCGTAGCGGACGCCAAGCCGGACGGGCTTCGGCGAGGGAGGGGGAACGTCGAGCAAGCAGCCGCGCTGCTCCCCGAGATTCCCTGGGCTCCGGGCACCCCGTTCGGCTCCCCGCAGCCCCAGCGCCCCACGCGTTCAGGCGCTGCGAGCCTAGGCGAAGCCGCGGCCCTACGGCCGCTGGGGGCAGGCTCGTCCCTGGCTCGGTTTGGGGGCTCGGGGCACCCCCAGTGGCCACCTCTGCCCGGCCTTGCGCCCCGCAGGCGCCGATCCGGTCTTGCTCTCTCCCTAACAATTAACAACGGAGGAATCAGTTTTGTTTGGGCAGTATGGAAAGAGGGTAGAAAGTGGGGGAGCAGAGAAGAAAGTGGGGGGGAAGAGGGACGCAGAATGACACCGTGGTGGCAATGGCCGGGTGCCAGGGCTCTTATTTCGTTTTCTCAGAAAATTTCTGCGACTAGCCTCTCAGTTCTGACTGGGGAAAGTCCAGTTCCTTAAAGGCAAATATTAAACCCACACACAAGCTCACCGTGCTGTTGTTGGGAACAAGGCCACCACCCCAAAGTTGGGCAATGCTGGAGGTGAAGGGCCACGATTCTAGCGGGACCTGGGGGTGGGGTGGGGTGTTAGGGGAAGAACCGGGGAGCAACAGAATGGGGGAAACCCTGGGGCGACGGCTGTAAGTGCTGCTTGTCTCTATAGTCACTCATAGAGACCCACAGTGGGCAGTATGAGGGGAGAATTCTCAACGCCGGACACTCTGGGGAGGCAGGAGTTAAAGTCCTTGGACAGGTGTGGGGACCCAGGCAGGGTGAGGCATCTCCTTCATTCTAACTTGGCAAGACTGAGAGAGCCCCCCACACCCATTTTCCACCCGGAGCATGAGGCACGTGGGGAATGTTCCCCTTTCAAATTCCAGTCCGCATCAATCACCCCCGTGTCCTATTCCAAGAACATCTGGCCTGTCTCCCCCCCCCCGCAACACACCCATGCTGCCCCCCTTCCACCAGCCTCTATCCTTGGCTCTTCTGGCCTGCCTGGGTGTGTGCCTATAGACTCAAGGGAGCGTCCAGCTAGCAAGACTGGGGTATGATGGTCTTCCCCATTCTGGGGGGACTTGTAAATTTGTTGGGAGTGAGGAGCATTGAAATAAATAAAGAAAAAGGAGAAAAAGGTGTCTGTGAACACCCAGGCCTTGGGAAGCCAGAGCAGGCTACAGCCCTCTGCTCAGGGTCTGCTTTAGGAAGAAATAGCAGGATGGCTCCCAAGGGCCAGCTGGAAGGTTCTCTACCTTTCCCCAAGAAGTGGCGCAGGTTGAGGGTGAGCAAGAGTCCTGCTTCCTTGCTCCTCAGGGGCATATGAGAAGGCAACAACCACACCAGTGGCCTGTTTCACGGCTTAATGTCTGCTTCCTGCCCTGCAGAGGTGCCTTGGAGAAGCCACAGGAACACCCCCGGAGCCACACTCCTGGATTTTTGCCAGGTAAGGAGATTCTGAGATCACCTTGGGGTGCCCACTGAAGAGCCACCAGGGAATGCAGGCAAAGTAGGGTGGGGGACAGGACATGCACGTTCTCCTTCCTCTATGTGGCTGCCCATAGAGCCTTCACCTGGCCTTATTTAGTCAAAGTGTGGCTCAAGGAGCAGGGAGGGGTTGCTACAGCCTGGGTCAACCTAGAGCTCAAAAGAACACAGCCCACCCTCAGCCGGGACCAACGACCAGAACGGTTCTTCCTCCAAGGCCCTCTCCTTTCCCTATTCTTGCCACACACACCCCAGCCCCAGGTAGGAAAGAACCTACAGCAGCCTTAGAATGCTACTGGGTGCTATGGCTTCCTCTAGGCAGGGCTTGACCCGCTAGACTTCACTCCCAAGGGCACCTCTGTCCTTACCCTGCCCTGCTCCACCACCATGGCAGTCCAAGCCTTTCTGGGCTTAAAAGCTCAAATTCTGAAGAAACTAAATACCCTTTAAAATTCAAATTTACCCCTTAAGCCTGCTTAGCCAGGGGCTCTGTCTGTCTCCCTTCAGGCAGTGGGCCTCCCCTCGTCCTGTGTCTCTTTCCTGCTCCTCTGTTGCTGAAGCTTGGGAACAAGCCTGGCATTTTGCACACCCAGCTCCTCTCTGAGGGTCCCTAGTAAGCTCTTCCTCATGCCCTGATGATGAATGCCTTCTCTAGAGGCCACACTCTGCTGGGCTGCAGACATCATGACCACCACACAGGGACTCCACACCAGGAAGACCCAGACAGTGCCCTGTGTTAGCCTGCAAACCTGGGAAGTCACCGTGGGAACCACCAATATGAGGATTACACTCCCCAGGCTGATCAGTGAATGCACCCAGAACCAAAAAGCAAGTAAGAGTTGCTGTGGGGGCACCGGGGAGGGAGCAGCAGAGAAGGCCGGTGTGCTGGGTGGGGGTGGACTAAAACCACAACACTATGTTAACTGCTTTAGGGTCTGAACCGACATTTAAAAGATGATTTTTGGCTTCTCTTTGGCATGGGTATGATAGCCCAGAAAGGGGTGTGTGTGTAGAAATTCACCTGCTGCATCCCACCCTGCCAACTCTGGGGGGCCTTCGTCACTTGAGGCTTAGGCACAAGGACACAGACCCACACACTGCCCACCCCCAACCTCCAGTGTTCTGCCAGACACAGAGCCTTCGCTTTCCTGGTCCCCAGTACCTGAGCAGTGAGCTGCGGGCACCAAGCAGCAGAGCTTACTCCAGCAGAGTCCGGTGCTTCTGGCCACAGGCCCTGTCTAGCTGCCTCCCATCCCCATCCACACAGGAAGCCCACGGCCTCCAGAATACAATGGAATCAGGACACAAGCTCTCCTAAGGCCCCTTCGCAGGTCTCAGAATGTCTCTTTGGTCATTATTTCATTTGCTGTTCACAGTTCAGCCAGGAGGCCTGAGACTGTCACGTACTTTGACAAATGGGGAGAGACACAGAGAGGTCAAGCCCCCGGTGCACGGGCACTACAGCTGCAACTGCGTAGCCAGGGGAGGGGGGACAGGGCCCCCCACGCCCAGCTTTCCTCAGTCTCCCAATTCTTTTTCTTTTTCTTTCCTCATCTGGAACTCCTGACTTTCTCTCTTGGGCTGTCTGACCTTAACCCTCCGTCCTCGTCTCCTTTGCCCCCAGACTCCTGAGAGCACAGACAGCTTCAAGGACCTACAGGCTACAGAGACTGCAGGATGTCTGCTCTGCCTACACCCGTGTTCCAAGGAGAGGCACCTGGAGCCCACCTGAATTCCAGATACCAGCTGTGTGACTGAATAGACTCCCTAGCCTCTGCCGGTCCCTTGGCTGCAGGAGACTTGGCTGGGGGCCCTCCCTGTATCTGCAGGAGTCCAGATGTGACCCTGTGCAAGAGACACCTCTGTCCTGCTGGACACATGATGGACACTCACCTCTGGGAAGGAACTGGGACTGGTGGGAGAAGGACTGGGGCTGGTGGGCGGCACCCTTTAGTTCTGGGAGCGCCCGGATCTCCTGGGCCACAGGCCACAGCACCTGGCCTCGGGGCTGGACTCCCGGGCTGCTCTGGCTGGTTCCTGCTCAGGCTCCGGTTCCTGCTGCGGCTCAGGCCTCGGTGGCAGCGGCAAAGGCCTCGGCTCAGGCCTTGAAGGCAAAGGCCTCGGCAAAGGCTTTGGGGGCTGGGCAAGAGGTTCAGCCCCAGGAGATGCAGGACCCCGGGATTGGGCCTTGGGATCCTCCTCCTCCTCTTCCTCCTGCACAATGACCTGGAGCTCGGTGGTGACTACTCGCCCCCTGGGGAAAAGCAAAAGTCCTTGAGATTATCTCAAAAACTTCTCCAGCTGGGGCTGCCCCCCCTGCCCCCCTTGCTGCAGGATGGGGAAGCCTGTGGGTCAATTGTAAGGGCTGCCCCCCTCCCCACACCCATCTGTTCAGCTGCCTCCCCCCCCCCCCTTCTAAGTAGAAGGGAGAAAGCAGTTGGTGAGAAGTCACTTTGCCAAGTTTGACAACTGTTCAGGGAGAGGCAGGAGACCCTCCTTTGGGAAGGACAAGCTGGCTCCTTCCTAATTAGGGGTGGGCTTCTGCCTTGGCATGAGTAGAGGTGCCACACACAGAAGGATTTCTTTGATGGGCCACAGCTAAAATGATGAAAGTCTCCCACTCTTGTCACTCTCCCAACCTTGGATGGGAGCAAAATCAAAAGGGCACAGGGCTCCCCTTTAGGAAGGCAGCCTCTGGAAGGGGTGGTAAGGCTTCTTCAGGAAGCAGCCCCCCCTCCCCATAAATGCTGTACTGGGTGGATTAAGGTATCTGGGATCCCAGTTGCAGGGAAGAAAACTGTTATGCACAAATGGATGTGTACCCAGGAGTGCTGCTACTGTCCCAAATTCATATTTGTGGACAGGACACACTAGAGGGAGGATGCATAAAGGGACTGGCGTGGTCGGGAGAGAAGCAGCCTTTGTTTTTTTAAGCCCTGCTAGGGAACAGCAAGGGATATCACCCTGTCATGATCTTTCTTCTTTAGTCTCCAGTATCCTGGTGGGCGTTGGGAGATATAGGATACAGAGAGCGAAGCTTTGCTTTTAAGATTATATATATATATAATATATACATATGTATATATGTATATATAATACATCTATTATATATATGCATGATATGCACACACGCCCGCATACATGTAAAATAACCCCCCCCCACACACACACTGCTCTAGAATCTACGGTCCCTCTGCACAGTTTGGGGGTGGTAGTGGAGAGAGGTGTGCACCATGGGGAAAATTTTCACGCAGAAAAACTCTTTCCTTCCACGTTTGTGAAAACAGCTGCGCACTCCTGCTGGTTAGAGCAAGAGGCCTGCCTCTCTCCTTTTGCATGGTAGATTAGTAACGGAAAGGAAAACTTTCTTTCCTTGTAGCTTTATGCAGCCCTATAATCCCACTTGTCTCTCCTGTCCCCTCAGAAGTTGAAGCTACTGTTAGACCGTCCAGTCCAACGGCAATTTCCCCCTCTTCAGAGATCAAGATCCTAATTGCCCCAAGTCCTAAGCCCACTTACCCGTACCAGAATATTTAAATTATAGTTGCACTCATACACAGAAGGAATGGAAAGCCAGCTAGTTACCTGTACTCTAGTCGCTTCGTAGTCCCCGAAGTTCCTGGACGGTGGATAAAGAGGACCGGGGACTCACTGGTGCCAAAGATTCTCTTCCGAAATTGCCTGGGAGATGATCTGCTGGCTGGGCCAGGATCAGCAACCTCCTCCAAAGTAGGGGGGTGCTCTGGCCGTGGTGCCCAGACGCTCCAGCCGGGTGGACGTTGAGGAGGTGGAAGGGGACGAGGCTGAGGCTGAAGAGACGGTTAAGGGAGCTTTTAGAGTGTGCATGATAACAGGGCCTCTAGAAGCGGGCTCTGCTCTCCACCACCGAGCAAGGCACCTGCTCAAATGCTAGCTGACACTATGACTTTGCCCTCACCTCCTCGTCCCCTCCACGCCCGTCCCCAGGCCCCTCCAAATTTGGGAAACGATGTGCTAACACGGTGCAGCAAAGAATTCTGGGGCAGCTGACTATGGCAATTTCCCACTCTAGGGCATGGGGGCATTAGGGGGCGGGGCTTTGGCCCATGCCTGACAAACGGAAAGACATCTATGTGGGTATGAACATACGCTAGAAGCACTTCCGGTTAGCTAGGGGGTGGGGACTATGTGCAGGGGGTAGGGATGGGTGGGGACGTCACTAGATTGACACTTGGCAGTCACCTGACACCCTGGAATGTCTGTGGGCGTGGCACAGGTAAAAAGGGGGCGTGGCCTATTTAAATTAGAAACCGGGTTCAAAATAAATATTAAAATTACTTTCTAAGTGCTTCCGGTGTATCTCTGTGGCACAGCGCCATGTGTTGTTTCATGTTTCATGGGTACTCAACTTAGAACTCTTCTTTGTCATCAGTCATCTGACCTGGCCCCCCCGCCCTCTATGGGTGGTGCCAAGCACTAAACATACTGGTGCAGATGGCATGTATAGTGACACTTGTTCACCCTTTTTTTGGGATATTGGTTGGCTGGGTTCTCACCCCTTTTTAGCCTAGCTGCAACTCCATTTAAGGCACAGGCTGAGCCCTTACAGCAGCTGGGATGGGGCTTAGATACAAGCATTGCCTGAGGTCTCATTTGTAGTCTGAAATGTTTGTTCCTGGCTTTGAGGGAAAGCATGGAGTAGAACAAAGACTAAAAAAAAGCCGGTGTACTCCACAGAAACCCACTAGTCCCTACCCTTTGCACTTTTGCCTCCCAGCTAATCTTTTTATCTTACTCAGCTTATCAGCCCAAGCTAAGATTTCATTAACCCATCTCCCTTTGTTATCCAAGTCCCACCTGAACTCCCTTACTTAGTGGTAGAGATAGGCATGTTTGGGGAGAATGAGACTTTATGTAGGGGAAGATAATCAAACTTTAAGGGAATTCGTATCTGGAGGGGGTGGCTCAGATATCCTGATCCGTGGGAGAAGGGCAGGTGGGATTTCTCACCATGCTTGTGGATGTTCCCAGGTGGTATCTGAGATACATAACAGAGGGCACCCCACACTTCACAGAGGTGAGTTGTCTTTTCCTTGTGAAGATTCTTCCTCTACTTTGGGGTCTGTGTCTAGAAGTAAGTGGCAAGTGCTGCCCTCTATTGCATGCTGCAAAGTGCTACCACTAGGGCCTTCTGAGAACTTTTGGCTGGGATTTACTAAGCATAGGGAAGGTGAGGTATTACTCCAAACCCATGAAGAGATTCCTTGGAAGCACCACAAGAGGAGGTGCCCTTTGAGCAGGTAAAAGGTCAAGGGGCTATAAGGAAAAACTGGCTATATCCCACAGGTCAGAGTCAGAGAGGCAAAGCTTTACCTCTTCCAAATGAATCCAAGCTCTGTCCCGATTTCCTACCTTTGACTAGGCTCGGGGCTATTTTAATTCTATCAGGGTCTTAGAACACAGAATATTTAAGGAGGGGAGAATGAATGTGCAGAGTGCCACGGAGTTGCAACTAAACCATGGTGCCACGGAGGCAGGAATGGGGCTCCAGGCATCAGTGAGTTACACTTTGAGGGGCATGACCTTCAGAATTGTATTTCATGGATGTTCCATGATTGAGGCACACAGTCTAGGGGACACAGAAAGGACCATAAGAACAAATATTGGGGTGCAAACATGAAGGCACAACAGGGAAACAATCTAGTCCCTTGAGGTTTGGGGAGAGGAGAGTCATCCAATTTAGGGGCTTTGTCTGGGCTTTCATTTATGGAAAACAAAGCTGAGGTACCCCTAGAAATCCCCAGCATCAGCCAGGTAGTACACACCTTTAGTCTCAGCACTCAGGAGGCAGGGGTAGGCGGATCTCTGTGAGTTCAAGACCAGCCTGCAAGAAATAGTTCCAGGACAGGCTCCAAAGTCACAGAGAAACCCTGTCTCGAAAAACCAAAGGAAAAAAAAAAAAAAAAGACCGGGCATTGGTGGTGCACACCTTTAGTCTCAGCACTCAGGAGGCAGAGGTAGGCAGATCTCTGTGAGTTCAAGACCAGCCTGGTCTGCAAGAAATAGTTCCAGGACAACCTCCAAAGCCACAGAGAAACCCTGTCTCGAAAAACCAAAGGGAAAAAAAAAAAAAGGCCGGGCATTGGTGGTGCACACCTTGAGTCTCAGCACTCAGGAGGCAGAGGTAGGCAGATCTCTGTGAGTTCAAGACCAGCCTGGTCTGCAAGAAATAGTTCCAGGACAGGCTCCAAAGTCACAGAGAAACCCTGTCTCGAAAAACCAAAGAAAAAAAAAAAAAAAAGACCGGGCATTGGTGGTGCACACCTTTAGTCTCAGCACTCAGGAGGCAGAGGTAGGCAGATCTCTGTGAGTTCAAGACCAGCCTGGTCTGCAAGAAATAGTTCCAGGACAACCTCCAAAGCCACAGAGAAACCCTGTCTCGAAAAACCAAAGGGGGGGAAAAAAAAGGCCGGGCATTGGTGGTGCACACCTTTACTCTCGGCACTCAGGAGGCAGAGGTAGGCAGATCTCTGTGAGTTCAAGACCAGCCTGGTCTGCAAGAGCTAGTTCCAGGACAACCTCCAAAGCCATAGAGAAACTCTATCTCAAAAAAAAAAAAAAAAGAAAAAGAAAAAAGAAAAAGAAAAAATTAAAAAAAGAAAAAAAGGAAAGGAGTTGGTGGCACATGCCTTTAATCCTAGCACTCAGGAGGCAGAGGCAGGTGGATCTCTGTGAGTTCAAGGCCAGCCTGGTCTATAGAGCAAGTTCCAGGACAGCCTCCAAAACGATACAGAGAAACCCTGTCTCAAAAAAAAAAAAAAAAATCCCCAGCATCTAATTTTCCTTGCTAGGCTGCTAAAGTGGCATCGTGCTGACATCTGGTGGCCATATCTGTAATTACAATGCACAATCTAAAGTTCTTACTGCACGAATTTGGAGATGCTCAGGGAGGTGAATTGGTGAGAGGTGAACCTCTAACTCTCCCATTCGACAGAGAGACTTTGTGTAGCACCAGGGTACAAGTCAGTTCTGTAGATTTTTACTTGAACTTTTTTTTTGCCTCTACCCTATCAGGCATTTTTTTTCTTTGCATATCTTCCTGTCCTAGGACTTAGGAGAACCCCAAACTACATAAACCCCAAACACCTTGAGTCATTCATTCAGTTCTAAGAAAATTCACAATTATTAAAATTAATTTATTATGGACTCTTTTCAGATATAATCCCAGAATCCCAGATAAGAGGTGGAGGTCCCTGGGAAAAACTAGGGTGGGTTAAATTGTTCTTAATTCCCATTGACAGCACTGTCTTCCAGCATCTGAAAAGGGAATTTGCAAACCTGGCTCAAGCTCGTCATCTGGTGGTCATTTAAGAAATTACACTGAAGCTTCAGAACACATCTCTCTCCCTACAATCATAATTACAGGGTGCTTTATTAAGCCTTAGGAGTGGAGGGAAGAGGAGGACAGGTGTTAGGGCTGTAGATGTAGCTCAGTGGTAGAGGATCTTGCAACCATGAGGCTCTGATTCAATCCACAGCACAGAAAAACCCATCATATACTACCTGTACATAACTTGTCCTTCCTCCCCTTGGTGTATTGGCAGGACTAAGGCCATCTTCTCAAAAGCTACAAGGCCACAGATGAAAACCCAGGAAACTTTGTGTTTGATGATATGGGTCAATTTTGTTTTATTTTAATTTATTATTATTGTTGTTGTTGTTGTTGTTTTTCGATACAGGGTTTCTCTGTATTGTTTTGGAGGCTGTCCTGGAACTCACTCTGTAGACCAGGCTGGCCTTGAACTCACAGAGATCCGCCTGCCTCTGCCTCCTGAGTGCTGGGATTAAAGGCGTGCACCACCAATGCCCAGCTAGGGGCCCATTTTATATACTTCGACCCACTGTGCATCGCACAGGAATAGAGTGAGCAGAAACGTGGTTGGTGACTGCCTAGGTTCAAATACCTAGTCTGCTCATTTCTTTGGGCAACTTACCTTGAACCTCCATTTTCCCTCCTGACCTCACAGGTTGCTTCTGGAACCACATTGAAACGCAGCTGAAACAATCCGGAACTCTCAGCCGTGGGACACCTGTCCATAAAGGCTCTTCTACCTATTCAGACAAAACTTTACTTCAGATGGGACTCTAGGATTTGGGGTGAAACACTGGTTAGGGCTTCCTTGAGAGCTGAGCTAGGACTTCAAAGAGCTGCAAAGACCTTCCTGCCCCTCATACACAGTGAACCCCAAAGAGCTGCCAAGACCTTCCTGCCCAGCATACACAGTGAACCTCAAAGAGCTGCAAAGACCTTCCTGCCCCTCATACACAGTGAACCCCAAAGAGCTGCAAAGACCTTCCTGCCCCTCATACACAGTGAACCCCAAAGAGCTGCCAAGACCTTCCTGCCCTGCATACACAGTGAACCCCAAAGAGCTGCAAAGACCTTCCTGCCCCTCATACACAGTGAACCCCAAAGAGCTGCCAAGACCTTCCTGCCCAGCATACACAGTGAACCCCAAAGAGCTGCAAAGACCTTCCTGCCCCTCATACACAGTGAACCCCAAAGAGCTGCAAAGACCTTCCTGCCCCTCATACACAGTGAACCCCAAAGAGCTGCCAAGACCTTCCTGCCCTGCATACACAGTGAACCCCAAAGAGCTGCCAAGACCTTCCTGCCCAGCATACACAGTGAACCTCAGGACCAGAGCATCCCTCATGTGCAGCATAGCACTGCTGGTCTCTCCCAACAGCTTGCTCTTGCCTAAACATTTTCTTCCCAATCCACTCGAAGATGGGTTCCACCCTTAGGGAACCCTGGCCCCTGGATTATGGTGCCTACCATATAACCATGGCTATGCTGGGAGCATATGCGGGAAGTACATCAGCTTTCTTTTCTCTAGAAAACACACATGGGAGCCAGTGCTATTTCCAGGAGATGAAAGCCAGAGACGCCCAGATGTGAGACATCATCTTCCCCCAGTCTAACCCACTAGCTCTCATGATTCAGCACCACTGACCCAAGGAGGCTAAGGCTGAAAGGGGAGGTAAGAACTTCTTCCTACACCTACTATACAACACAGTTTGTGGCTATTGTCACCTCTTGTTTATACCATGGCCAGCCCATATGCCAGGCCTTAGGGGAGAGCTCAGCATAAGTCCAATAATGGCTCTCAGCAGTGCTTGGCCACGGGTTATGGGGAGGCCATAGCAAACCTGCCTCAAGGTCACAGCCTGGAGAGCACGGCTATTACTTCAGAAAGCGTTCCCACCACTCACTTTCTCTTTGCTTTTAAGGCCTGGCTCTGCACATGGAGCTGGGGTATGGGTATCTTCCCTTTGCTGGCTCTCTTGTCAGCTCTTCATCCGACTCAGCCAGCCACTCCCATCTCCTTTTCCATATCTGGGTCCAGGTGGAGGCGCTTCCCCTTCTACCGGTTCCCTAGCCCTGCCAACTGATGCTATTCTTGGTCCTCGGAAGTCAGGCCCGGAGAAGATCAGTCTGCAATAGTCAGAGCACAGATTTGAATGCTTCAGTCAGAACACAGACTTGAATGCTTCAGTGTATCCCTGATCCCCAGGCCCATTCTCACTACTTCTGGGTTACCTGTGCGTCAGACAAGCTATGAGGAGTCTTCCAGGTCCCCAGCAGCCCAGGTCACAGTGGGTCTTAGGGACAGACAGGAGACCAGAGATCCAGCAGGAGTAGGACGCGGTTCTAAGCAAGGGTGGACTTTGAAGAGCAGAGGGGGTGTGCCAGGGCCTCAGCGTGAACAGCTGCAAGCTGGCAGGGCTGAGAGCTCCTACTCTGTTGTTCACAAACACAGATGGGCTGGGAGAGTCAGAGGGAGGTCCTGTTGGAATGTGGGTCATTGTCAGCAGTAGGATTCTAAAGGCTTTGCAGGACTACAAGGGGTGAGGCCTAATAGAAACATGAGGGACTGTGGACATCCAGGTTCCGCAGCTTTAAGACCTACTCCTATCATTGGCAAAATATAAGTATGTCCAGGAGAGAATTCACCAATAGTCCACAGATGGGAGCCACACATGACCATTGGGACTTGACTGGCTTAGCCAATTAGAGTCAGTGGACTTGGCCCAGAGGTCGGATCTAGTCACTTAGAGCATATGGATGAAGCATTGGTGGGTGCTGCACCACTGTGACAACTGTCAGTCTGAAGAGCCCTGACTTGGGTCCTGTTTGGACAGAGAGGCTCGCTTGGTGACCCTGTGTCTCAGCTCAGGCCCAGATTCAAGGGTCTGGGGCAAGGATCAGGGTCAAGGTTCTGGTTACCCACAGCAGAAGAGTGACTGGTCAGGTGTTTGCACCAAGGTGTGTGTGTGTGAGTGTGTGTGTGAGTGTGAGTGTCTGAGTGTGTGTGTGTGTGTGTGTGTGTGTTTGTGTGGTGGGGCTACCTGGGAGCCAGAAGATGAGCCAATGACTCCAAGGGGACCGGCTCAATGCCATTGGTAACTTGGCACCAGCACAGCGTGACTGGATCATACAGGGTCACCTCTACAGCTTCACTCTTGAAGGAATCTGCCTTGCTGTTCTGTGGCCAGGCCAGAAACGATAGTGGGAGGGGGAAGAGAGGAGTGACACTGTATCCAGGCTGTACTTCAGCTCTCAGACCCTAGGCCTCACCACCCCCAGCATTCTTTTCAAAACTGTCCTTCCCTTCCTCTCAGCCCTGGGCGGAAGGTAGACATGGGAAAGGGCTGACCCTGTCCCAGATGTCCCTGCATGAGGCATCCTGCACCCTGGGGTCCCTGTAGACCCAACTTCATGTGAAAACCAGGGTTTGGCCTTCCAGCCTGTGTGCCTAAGAAAACTCCAAGCAGAGCAAGGGACCACTGGTTCCTCTGGCTCCCAGTCTCAGTGCCTACCAGGGCTCTGGGGACCCACCACCAGGGGTCTAACTGAAAGCAGACAGCCTGTACCCCTGGCCTGTTGACTTAGTCATAGTGTGAGGAGTTATATGGATTGCCTCTACACTCTCCTTTAGGCAGCTGAAATTCTAGGCAGGCAGTAAATGGCTCTAATCTGAGACATTCTAGGAATATTGCACCCAGCATGATGAGACACTTTCTCTCTTTCTCAAACCTCATACTCTCCAGAGTCTGGAGCAGCCAGCCCTTTGGGAAACCCCTTTGTCCCTGTGAGTGCAGGGGAGCAAAGGGAGAAAGTCCGCAGCCTCTAGAAGGGCCTAACTAAAGTAGAGCTTTCAGACTTGGAGTACCTCAAAAGCAAGGTTCTGGTGCCCTCTGCTGGACACTTCTATGAGTAGCCATTTCTGGCTGTATTGTCCAGAATTCACAAATGTCTCCTCCAAAACCACAGAGGGACACCCAGTTTTAGTCTGTGGGAAGGCTTCTCAGGGGTTTCCCCCACTAACAGCTAGGCCAGAGATCCACCAACCAGCATTTGGTGCTGCCTAGTGGCAACTTTTCTGGGAAGGTTGACTTAAGAGTTACCTGGTTCCTGGATGCTTCCCACTCTTTGGTTCAGAACCTTGCTGCGCATAAGGACTTCAAAGGGAAAAACTGGACCTTGGTATCCCTGAACCCCCCCCCCCCCGTCATGCCACTCAGGGTCTGTTCAGGCTTGGAGAAGACGAGTGGCATAAACATTGATTGAAAACATGAGAAAGCAAATACTGTCCCTGTGGCTGGGCTGAGGCACCAGCTCATCTGTGCCAAGAGCCAATGCAATCTTGGGGAGCCAACCTGAAGGCAGCTACATTGGCAGACCATCTTAGGTGAATCCAGGCCTCAGCCACTCCATGTGTAGCATTAGTTTGAGTCTCTCCAAGCCACAGATATGGAGCTGAACCACCTCATTAGACCAGGCAAGAGTACAACCCCGGTGTACTGGCTGTCCTTAGTAATTCCCTAAAAGTTCCTGGACCTCCAGATGGTAGGCAGGCGTGATGAGGGGCTTGTTAAGGAGCAGGTCCCCGTAAGACACAGCCCCAGTTCCAACATCCAAGTGACAGGCATAGCTTGTGGAAAATAATTATCACTGCAGGCCCCATGGGCAAGGGAAATCCAGGCTCCAAGGGCAGGCAGGAGCCTCTGTGCTGCAGGGCTGTTGTACACCAGCTGGGTGAGGGGCTGGGTGAGGCAGGGGCGGCGGGAATGCCTGAGGCAGGTCTGTCACTGACCTACATGGGGTGACCCGGGGACTCAAGGGAACCCCCGAGGTCCTCAGCTGGCATCTTTGGGGTTAGCACTCATGGTGGTGCTCATCAAAGACAGTCTGATCCAACTTCTGGCTCATTTGGGTGACTGCTTCTTGTCCGCTCCTGGAGGGACTGAGAGGCAGCACACACCTGTCTCTAGTATTCTGCCTCCTCTCCTCTTCAATGCCAGCAGAGGAGACCAAATGAGAAGAATTAGGAAGGAGAGTCCCAAACCAGAGTTTCAGGAGGCCCCAGGAAGCCAGTGGGGATGTACTCAGACTGGGCAGGTTAAGGGCCCCAGGGGCAACCTGCCCTCCCTTGAAGCCTGGGTCAAAGGCCCCAGGAGTGAAGCTATAGACAGGAGTATGATATCTGGACCATACTTGTGAGCTCCCAGAACCCATAGCGTGAGTCTACTGCATGTTCTGCAAAGCTGGACTTGCCCAACAAGGCCCAAGGACCCAAAGAGTCTTACTCCCTTTACCTCTGACTTATATGCACTCAAGAAATTTTGTGGCACCTAAATGTTTAGGCGCCACATGTGCCCACCCACCCAAGGCCCAGGCAGCTCTGGCCAATGGCTTTCTGAAGGCACAACTGACCCCCAGCCAGCCCACTCCCTAGTTCCTGCTTCTCGCTCTTGCTCTGCAGAGACTCACATGCCTCCACTCCAGCAGGGTGCCCGTCTCAAGGGGAACTGACCCAGGAGGGAGTTCCCCTTGAAGGATCACAGCCACCTCCTCCTCTCTTCTTCTGGACCCAGTATTCAGCCATTTACTCTCCTGTTCAGTTCTGACCCCCCTTTCAGGGGTAGGCCTTACAAAGGGCCCATGACATTTCTCTAGGTAGAGGTGTGGTATTGTCACAGAGAGGAGATGACTGGGAAGGGGTCCTCAGGGCTGCTTTAGGAGACTTCCCAGCCACCAAGTTTCAGCAAGAAGAACCCACGTCTAGCTCAGAGGCCTGTCATCCTAGCCCTGGGTGGAACTTTCATGGAGATACAGATTGGTTTGGCTTGAGTGGCAGGAGGGTCAGCCAGCTCTTGGGATGACCAGGATCACTGTTTAGGCCCCTAAACTCTCATCTGCCTGATAAGTACCACCCAATCGTGATCAGTGGGTGCTGAAGAGAGGTGCTCTGTGTTGAGATTCCCTGAAGATCTAGATGCCACGTGGCCTTTCATTAGGACTGAGAACATTTCTAGAGGGATTGCTAAGTACCCAGGTTCAAGGACTCTGGTGAGAGACCCACCCCCACTTGCTGGAAGGAGAGACTGAGAAGAGACAGGCGATCCCAGCCCCAGGCCTCGTGTCATCTGGCCCTCTCACGGCCCTCTCTGCGTAGAACTCACTACTGGACCACTCCTGAGAAGTAGGGTTCTGATGCTCCTGCCCAGCGTCCATGGGAATCGCTCAGTGTGTCCTTTCACCCACGTGGAATGCCCGTCCTGTCCAGAGCACTAAGGGTCACTTGGAGAGTGTGAGAAGGGTTGGGAATGTTCTCTGTCCTCCCAGAGCTAAGCTCTGAGAGGATGGTTTCCACGGCCTTCCAGCTGAAGTTCCCAGGCCCAGTCTCTGCCCCTTCAGGGACTCCGTCTAAAATAGCTCTGGAAGCAGATCTCAGGAAAGCTAGGTGGAAGCTGTTGTTGGAATGTTCGGGTCCTCGTTCCTTTAACATTTCTCTGGGGCCCTTGAAGGTCCAGAGCGGTGAAGCAATGAAACATTGGCTCATAGCTGCCATCTCCCATGCCTTCCAAAGACTCTGAGCTCTTCTTCTCTATTCAGCTAGAAGCAGCAGGGGTCAGGGTCATGGTCCTCCTAGACAACCCAGGGTGAGGGGGCTTATTATGGGCTACCTAAAAGCATTGGCTAAATTGGGGAAGGAACTATCTATGTTCAAGGTTTGGTTCAGTGGACATCTGTGGTTGCCCAGGGATCCAAGAGAAAGATGGGGTTGCAGAGAGCACCAAAGAGGGAGCCATTGTGGCCAGGCAGGTAGACTAAGCCGGGGCCACTCCCACCAGCCCCACCCCACTCACATCCTACACATACAAACACACACACACACACACACACACACACACACACACACACACACACACAACCGGTAGTGCTCCTTCAAAGGTTTTATTCGCTGCAGGAAGGTGGGCTGGGTAGTGGTGAGGACTAGTTGCAGTAGTTCTCTAGCTGGTAGAGCGAGCAGATGCTGGTGCAGCACTGATCCACAATGCCGCGCTTCTGCTGGGCCACCTCCAGCGCCAAGGTCTGAAGGTCATCTGCTCCGGGGCCACCACCCAGCTCCAGTTGTGCCACTGCCAGGGAGACGGTGTCAGAGCAGGCCAGAACATCAGCAGCATAGAAGCAAAGACACACAGGACAGTCCAGTCAGGAGCAGCTGAGGAGCCCCTGCCTACCCCAGGCTTCCCCTCGCCTTGTCTCTCGCTAAGTCAGTGCAGATGGCAGGAACTGTATGTGTATGGGACAAGTCACTGGGCATGGACACAGGAGCTCCAAAGCCTGCACATCCTGCCACCGTCCCCCAATCAGTGCAGTGTTTTATAGGG